TCGCACGTTGTAAACGGTATCTCTTTTTGCAAATATCAAATCTAAGATTGAAGCACCTCTAGTAGGATTTGTGACAAGTTGTGAGAGCCCCAAACACTCAAAAAAGGATATAAATCGGGAAGGAGAAACAGAGCAGGTTTTCATTTCAGACCAATCCACACCAGCAAGATTGAAATCACCGAGAAAAATGAGGCTCTTATTATTTGTGGAAGTTGCCAGGTTTTCTAGAAAATGGATAAATTCTTCATCTTGTGTGGATGTCTGATTGGGTGGTCGATAAATGAGCACAAATCTGATGTCATGAGAGCCATTAACGATCAGATCAAAAGCGAGTAGATCGGCAGTTAGAAAATGTCTTAGGCCCCGGGCAGACTTCACGCGATTTGATCGTCGCGACTGAATCGCGAGGACACAACTGTCACAACATCATTCCATGCAGATCAACTTGCATTCGGTTGTGATACTTTTCCAGACCGAAATTTTTGAATGTGAAATGAAAATGAATGGAAATGTTGGCGATTTGGTCGCGACGATTAAGTCGCGTGAAGTCTGACCGGGGCCTTACATCAATATTTTGAAACAAAAGATCGAATCGGATTAGTATGCAGACGCCCCCTCCCCTTTTACTTTTCCGATCACTACGTAAAATATTGTACGGTAGGTTGCCCAGTACTTCTGCGTCAGTGATATTGCTATTAAGCCAAGACTCTGTGATAAAAACAAGTGCTGGCTTGTAAGAATGATCGAAATGGTGGAATTCTACAAATTTGTTTACTAAACTTCTTGCATTAAGGAGAAAACAGGATATTAGAGGATTATCCAGGCCAGAAATTAGTTTTTTTGAAGAGACGACTTGATGCTGGGTATGTCTACAGCTCTCACAACTTGTCCCCTGTATACTACGAAGACCCTGTTGCCGCCATGCTCTTTATTATTGAGATCGCGTGCCTGCTGACGTAGGGCCCGGTCATGATCCCGCTCTTCACGGGTCATGGACCTTCGGATAAAGATATGTTCACAGCCGGGCTTGTTTCGCAAAAGAGGCGCTCTCTTAAGAGCAGTGAAGTAAAATTGTTGAGAAGAAAAAACGCATTTGATTAGTCGCGATTTATCCCCACTAGGTCTTCCCATTCGAAAAACTTCAACAGGCCTGGTCTCGATGTCCAGTTTATCTAAGATGGACATTACCGCATTTTCGGTATGTAACTGACGCTCAGATGCAATCGCATCCTCAAGTTCAGGAACCCCCGAAATCACGATGGAGCGAGATCTTTTTTCTTCTTCGATGGATTCCCTAGTGGGGGGCCTGATCAAACTAATCAATTGTTCCAACAATGGCAGGGCCTCTGGAGCCTTATTGACCAAAATCGATTGAAGTTGTGAAAGCAACTTATCTTCGTCCTTTTCCGATGCTTTAGGAATATCCACAGGAGACATAGTGGATTCCAAATTAGTCAAACCAGCTTTTCTTACTTTCTTGGATTGAACCGTGCGGCGCTGGGATACCATTGTAGACAGCAAAGTGCAATCAAACCACTCAGTGTGAGAGATGCAAGACGAATGAGTTGTCAAGGTTATTGAATGCACCGTCCACCCAAATTCTCGACTTCCATGTTTTTGTCGATTCTAGGCCTTCTGAAATCCCTGATTTCGGGAGGCTTGCCTAGTGTGGGGGCCCACACTAGTATGCCATCATAATCTCGCCAACCTCCACTTTGGGTGGACGATGCCTTTAAGTGCTTTATCTTATCATCTTGTCCACGTAGTTCTGTATACAGGGTGTCCCAAAAAATGTGCACTCTGTGATTGTTGATAACTTCTTTGCTTTGATGTCTTTCGCCGACCTTTAGGTACCATTTTGTAGAGCGAGGTTCAACTTAGATTTATAGTAATTGAGCGAATCATCGACTGCTCTTCATTAGGATGACGGTAGGAACTTGACAAGGATTTTAGGCCATTGCAGGCCATATTCTGCCTCGGAACAAAACCAAACGAGCCAAAAACTTTTATACTATGGTAATGGAAGTCGCTGATTTCGAATATGAAATTTCTACTTTACCGGTGCTTCTTTCCTAAGTTATCCTAGGTAAACAGTAATAACTGATTCCCAGCATTTGTCAGAAATGTGATTACACTGTCAAAAAAGCTGAAAAGACTCGTAAAAGTTGTTTCCTGGAATCAGCGTGAGCCCTAATACACGATTTTTTCAGATTTTTTGAAAACAAAATTTCAGATGGCGTATTTCACAATGGTTCCATATGCCGAAAGTTCTTGGCGTTATTCTACAGTAACGAAGAGCGATCGGTGATTCGCTCTACCGTAAACCTAAGTTGAATCTCACTCTACAGAATGCTTCCTAAGGTCGATGAAAGACACCAAAGCAAGGAAGTTACCAATCAAACAGTGTGCACATTTCTTTGGCTCACTCTGTATGTGCTGTTCAAATTTATCCGGATTACCACAAATTGGGAACATCCAATGCAGTGTCCGATGTCCTATCAGGAATCGTTATCGTGCATGGTCGATAAGATTTTTCGCTCAATGTAATGTGCTTGCGGTACCGAGAAAATTTGGTGAAACTTGTCCGTAAGTAAATTGCCATTGCCGGGCATCTTGCGCGCGAATGACCGGCGTTACGGGAGTAGCTAGTTGTTCACGCGAAAAAAGTATTTTCTCGGCACCGCAAGCACAATATATGAAGTGGAAAATAGTTTGTGATTGATCGAAGTTTATCGAGAAAAATCATCCTTACAAAATGAAGAAAAATTATAAGGATTGAGCGAGAAGGTTGTAGATGTCACGTAAATGGATGACTGGGTTGCAATGATATTCTGCATCGTAACGTTATACCAAATGCGAGCAGTTTCATCGGTAATAATTTAGTTGATTGTTCGAATTTCAATCGGTTATCCTCACAAACCCTTGGGGGTGTGGACGACATTCCATCAAGAACTCTTCCAGTGACGCTGGGAAGGTTTCGTCTAGTAACTTTCTATAAAAGATATACTTATTGAAAGTTGAAAAGGCGATTTTTGACTACATGGTCTATTGCCCTTTTCACTACATTGAACTTCATCTACCAGAAGTTCGATGCATTTTGCTGAAAATTGCTCATGTTTTTGCCAGCGAACTTCGGCCCGACTAATGCGAGATGAGAAAATTGCCATTTTTCACCTTCCCTCTTCGTTTCGAAAAGAGAGTGTTCAGGTAAGACGAATTTTTCATGATACGAAGAGCCAGAAGAAAGTTGACAATTTATCCAGCAAAAGTATTGACCTGCGAATCATCTTGTCCTCAAGCTTTTTAAAGCTAGAAAGAGACGAGGCCAAAAGAATGGGTCACTCTTTATCCATTAAGGTTTAGTCTGAGTAATTGGATAGGTCTGATTTGCGCGAATGTGTCTGTGATGGTGTCATCGTACAGGTTTTTTTTTTGAATTTCGTCCTATTCGATATAAGCTATGTCTTCAGATTTTTTCAAAGGATCTTGCTGTCGAAGATGTTCACACTCGTTGTGAGGCTGCCACCCATTTCCACATATACGTCAACTGCGCGAAAAAACAACGTGAGGGAGTAATCTGAAGTACGTTCGTTGATGCTAGAATATCTGGCGAAATAATCTCTTTAACCGTCTCTGTGTCATTGATGAGATGCTCTGGATTTTTCCCTACAGTCGATCGTTTGGTGCAAAACGATGTTGGCTTCATATAAAGCAATAAGCTTCAAGTTGTAATATCATGCAAAGAGTTATTTTCGATCAAACTATTTTTATGATTATTATCCTAAATTGTGTTCTAAAGTTTTCTTCGGGGAATAATGTTGCTACCCCGTCCTGTAACCTATTTTCTGTTTTTTGGTAATTCTTTCGTTGTGAGTCGTACTTTCACGTGCTAAACATAAACATTTTTTTTAATAGCTAACTCTGCATTTCAAGAAATTTAAGACAAGTAAATGCAGATTTTTGTATCACGTGGAATGAAGCAGGCTATCGATACTTTATTCTACCGAGCAGCATAAATACGTGCTTTGCGTATTCTGCACATTAACGGGATGCAAGGTTGGAAGCAGATATATTGAGGAGAGGATACTAACACCGCTTCAACAACAATCTGAGAAGGCTTGTCCTCAAATTCAATCGATAAATACAAGCTTCAGATCTCTTAATTTATCAAGATCCCCAATGTGCTCGACAATAACGTGAGGTAATGTCAATGGCATATGTCTTACCACTATCCTCAAGCCCTAGGAAACTGCGCTGATCGAAATCTCTAAGATCTAGGATGAGGAAGAAGGCAGGAAGTGTTTTTCTTCATCCTTTTCAAAAATCATCAGTATTATAATATAACTACTCGATTGAATAGATTGTCTGGTTCGAAAGATTGTCACAAAATATATGACTATTTCCAGCTGATGACAGATTTGAGTCGAAAGCATTGGCATAACTGGGACAGTTTCTAACAAAGTATTCATGTATTCGGAATCCGATCATTTCAGTCAAACTGAATATGCGCTTACTTTTTGCAAAACACTTGGTTTTCCAGCATTGATTGGTGCAACAGTAAAGATTAAGGTGGTGGTAAATTTTGAAGCGTGGCAAGTGCTTTTTCTACAGTACAACTTCTCCACATGAACACAGATCAGCCGATAACTTAACAACAACCTAGTGATGCATCCAATTTTTGCGCTCCTTTGACGTCCCAGCAAAGTTGTGCTACGCAAAGTCTTCTTTTCGAAGTTTACCGTCAAAGTGCCTACGATCTTTCGCAATCCATAAGGCTGCGTTCATACTGATTTCGTAATCCGGGAACAGTCCCAGCACAACGCTCACTTTGAGCGCTGTGCTGGAACTGTTCCCGAACTTCGGGATCAGTATGAACGCAGCCTAAGGGTTTCACAGTCACGTGGACGGTAGAACATATTTCGCAATAACTGAGAAATCGCTCACATGTGCATCGGAGTCGGCTAGGTTTCCGTTTTCATAGCGTTACGTTGCAAAAAAATTTCAAATCCAGGACTTCTCCCGTGAGAAAGTGGGCGTTAACAATGCTTCGCTCACATATGGAAAAATGCGATGCGGCCAGGGCGCAGTTAGATGAATGGTATGAACATAGAACAAAGGTTGAGGCGGAGCTGTCCAAGTTAGCATGGCAGGTACATTAGATCTTTGGTTGTGGCTGTTTTCTTTGTTTACTTCATCTTGTGTTTAGTTCGATAATTGGGGACTAGATTCTCGGATGGAATCACTTGCGCTGCAGTCGGTGGAATCGCGTGGTGCCCCAGCCGGTGCAATAGTTGGAGTTTGCGATGGTCCTGGAGTGGCAAATGGTATCCCTTTCAATCTTTAACGCATTCACTAATTTTCCATGTGCCAAAGATCAGGACAGTTATCTTCTGGGGCATTATATGGAGTTCTTCGTTAGACGTAAAAACCTTTCCTCCAGCAACTCGCGAAAACTCAAATTAGAATTAGGGGCAAAACCTCGAACGGTTACATCCAGATCGAGAATTCTGTCCCTAAATGTAGCGAAGACGAATTGCAGAGACTGACCGAGAATTTGGCAATAATTTCAGACTCTTTCCAGTATAATCTCACTTTTAGCAGGACGTATTTTGTTCATAGGTGCAATTCTTGAGCGATTATGCCTAAATCAAAACTGCCGAAACTTTGCGTCGTCAATGATGCCATGATTCGGGAGACGGTCAAGAGGCGCGATTTCTCTGGCTGTCACCAACTTGAAACTTCAGTTTGGTGCTGCTATGCGAGTCTTCAAAAAGTACCAGATAAAGTGCATTAGCTTACTATCTGTCTGAGGTTACCACTTGCTGAGTTTGGTGGCTGCTGGGAAACGGACAGAAATGTCTACGAAATTGTTCTTAACTGCATTTTCATGGATTTTCGACCTTCAAAATTGTTGTTTTGAATCGATTCCAAGGCATTAAGATTGAACAACCCATGCAACTACCTAATATGTCTCCTTCTAAAATCTGAATAAATTTAGAAAGTTATAAAACACTTATTATGTGCTATTTGGTATCCATCTGGCAATAAAAATCGCGCCTCTTGACATACACCCCATGATTCGTTCTGGATGATATGCTGTAGGAAAAAGATACTTATTCCAGTTACCAAAAAGACCAAACATCTGCATTTTTTGAGAAAGTTTTGTTTATAATAGCAAAATTGAATCTCGAAAAAAGATCAAAGGTAAGTGGTGAAAGCCACGCTTTTGGTAATAACTCTTCAGGTCAAGTTCCTGGCGAAGCAACAGCTACACAGTCCAAGAAGGCTGGAGTCGCTGTAAATGAAGACATCAAGGTTGCTAGCAATATGTTAATCATCGAAGTTGCAGCATCTAGTTCAGAGACGCATGGACATCGTTTTGGGACTTATAGAGCATGATAGGATCCTAACAGACAAGCTTTTCAAATCCATCATAGCACTCCAGACAAACGAAACAGTTCTTGCGTTTGTCGGTTTTGCGTTTGTTTTTATAATGCTTTGTCACAAATTTGCCGTTTTCAGAAAATCCAGTGTGTTTTTGGTGGAGGATGTGATTTCATGTCGGCGGGACTTGGTACCAGCGGCAACATGATGGTGTGTAGCTACTGACTTCTATTTCGATATTTAACCTTGTTCAAAGGCAGCATCAGCCCATGTCTTCGTCTTTTGTTTCGTCATTCTGGTTCCCTTCCCTGTGAATAAACGTGAAGTGCAAAATGGCAAAACTCTAAAAAAACCGGCTTCTGACAATGAGAGCCTTAAAGGCAGCGTCCAGGCAAGTCTGAACACGTGGGGACCACATGGGTAGTAATTTTGGGGGCCCTAACTAAGTCACTGCCCAACCGGCAGCTCAGGTAGTGCTCTAACGGCTGAGATATTCCCCTCGAAACTGGACCCCACGATCGTTCGCATGGATTTATGGCACAAAGCGTGGGTCGTTGCGCGAAACTGCCATGAATCCATGCGAATACGATCGTGGGGTCCAGTTTCGAGGGGAATATCTCAGCTGTTAGAGCACTACGTAAGCTGCCGCTTGGGCAGTGACTTAGTTAGGGCCCCAAAAGTACATTCCATGTAAAATCCCCACAGGTCCAGATTTGCCTGGACGCTGCCTTTAAGCAAAATACCTGTTGTAGCTCACATCATGTGCACGAAGTAAAGAAATAAAAAAATATAATTGGGTGAGCGGAGCTTGAGAGGGCGGGCGTAGCATGAGAGAACTTCGGCGGGTTTTAGTTCCATTTTCCCATTTAGGGACCCCAAGAACAACGCAGATGTGCTTAGTGCCTTCTTGACACAGGTACCGATCGTAGGAGCATAGATTTTGCCTGGACACTGCTTTTAAGAATTGAATTGATATTGATCGCAATTGGGGATCATCCGAGAGATGCCTAATGCAGGCGTGATAGTGTTTTATGAATCTTTTATATCCAGTTTACAGCATTCGATTAGTGGACTTTAGCTAACATGTAGATATTGTTACATAAAAGTGGTATTTAGGACGATATGATTCGTCTCGCTCAAAAAATAAAGTTACCCATCATCATGGATATCGTGTCTGCGCTGACATTTGATTTACCCTGGGATCTTGCCGGAGTTGTCAAGGGTATTAAGGTATGCTGCTTTATTCTATCATTTCGTCAATGTTGTTTAAATATGTGCTGTGTAATTTCTTTTAGATTACCAGAAATCGGAAAAGTTCAATGCAGTGCCCATCCTACCACAAATAAAAATCGTACATAGTCGAGAAGATTTTTCGCTTAATAGAATTGCGTGCAGTGACAAGAAAATTTGCCCGTGAATAAAGTGTCACAACGAAGTGACAGCATCTTGCGCGCGCAAGCGACCGGCCTTATTGTAGCAGCTAGTTTTCACGCATAAAAGCATTTTCTCGGCACCGCAAGCACACCATTTCAAGTGGATAGTTCGCGATTGATCGAAGTTTGCTGAGAGAATCAAGGATTGAGCGAGCTGTAGATGTCACACAAATGGATGAACGGGTTGTTTCAGTGATATTCTGCAACCTAAAGTTATACCTTCCATTGGATAGTTCAGTAGTAGTTGTTCGATTTGAGTCGGTTATCCTCACAAACCCTAAGGGTGTGGACTGATAAGCTTCCATCGACTTCCAATGGCGATGGGAAGATTCGTCCAGCAAATTTTCACAAAAAAACGAGTTATACCTTCTAAAAGCTGAGTAAGCGCACGACATATATGGTCTATTGCCTTTTTCCTAAAATTAAGCTATCTACCAGAATTTGATGCATCAGATGTTTATACTTTTGACAGCGAACTTCTGCCTGATTGATGCGCGCCGAACTTTGCCTGATTGATGCGCGCCGAAACTTTATTTCTCGAATTTGAAAAATTGCTTCATTTTCTAGCATTCCCTTTCGTTTTTAAAAAGAGTAATTAGATTAGGTGAATTCATGATACAAAGAGCCAAAAAGTTGACAATTATCTAGCAAAAATTAGCGAATCGGTGAAGCATGCTATTTTTGCAGACTTTTCAAATGGATGGGATCTCCCGTTATCCAGTGTAATTCAGCCTAAGAATATTTGGACAAATCTGATTCGTTTTGTGCCCGTTGTCATCGTATAGATATATTCGAAGATTTTTATCCTGTTTGATGTAAGCTACATTTATAGTAATTTTTTTCCTAGGATCTTGCTGTCGAAGATTTCCGTACTCATTCCGAAGCTGCCATCCATTTTCACATATATGTCAACTGCGCGAAAAAACAACGTGAGGGAGTGCGTTCCTTGATGCTGGAATATTTGGCGAAGTAATTTCTGCAACCGTCTCTGTGTCACTGATGAAATGCTCTGGATTTTTTTTGCAGTTAATCGCTCACTGCAAGCGATGTCGGCTCCACATAAAGCAATAAGCTCTCATGCTTAATCATACTCCATATCCTCCATATAATAATGCTTGAGTTGTATTATCATGCAAAGAATTTGAAGAAATTGCTCTCTTATGAACATTATCTGCTCTAAATGGTGTCATCGTAGTATGGTGCTTTAAAGTTGTTTTTTATTTGCTTTGGAGAATTATGTTGCTACCTCAATCTCGTAACCCATTTATTGTTCATTTTGTGCCTACACTGTAGTGAGTCTACTTCAACATGCTAAACATAAACATTTATTCTAAATGGTTGACTCTGCATTTGAAGAAGGTTAAGATGAGCGCTTGAATGCAACTATGTATCGCAGTGAAACGGAACGGGCAATCTCTACTTTGTTTATATGAGCAGCAGAAAGACGCATTATAATTTGCTTTACTTACACCTCAACGGGATGCAAGATTGGGAAGCAAATGTTGAGGAATGAGTTTATGTACAACAGCGCTTCGACAACAACTTCAAAGAGGCGTTTCAGTGATCTTTCCCAGGAAATTACGAATGTATTACTCGATTAAATACTACTTCCGACTACTCGATTAAGTAAATCGTTCAGTCAGAAAGTATGTCACGAGATAATATACAGGGTGTCCCAAAAAATGTGCACACTGTTTGATTGTAAATAACTCTCTTGTAGTGAAGTGCTTCGAGAAGCTCTAATTGTAAGTACCATTTTGTAGAGCGAGGTTCAGCTTAGATTTACAGTGTAAGCGAATCGCCGATCGCTCATTCTTACTATAGGTACGGTAGAGACTTCAAACATATGGTGTCACTGTGAAAAAGCGGCCGTTTCAAAAATTTTCAAAAAATGTGGAAATTTGTGTAATAGGGTTTTTATGGACCTGGGTTCAATACCCAACTCTTGACAAGGTTGAGAAGCTTTTTAAACGGTATAACCGCACTTTTCAGGAACACTCAAAAACTTAAAACTCTGCTACTGCTTACCTCGCGTAACTCTTCAGTGAAGCATCATAATAAGTTGGGAACTTTACAGTTAGAATCAGCAACTCTAGGTAGCCCAGTGTGAGAGTTCTCAGGTTGTTTTGGTTTCTTTTCGGAACAAAATATGGCGCTTCATGGCTCAAAACCCTCTTCAAAGTTTCTACCGTAATTCTATAGTAAGAATGAGAGATCGGCGATCCGCTCTACACTGTAAATCTAAGTTGAACCTCGCTCTACAAAATGGTACCTAAAGCTTCTCGAAACACTTCACCACAAAAGAGTTAATTAAAGTCAAACAGTGTGCACATTTTTTTGGGACACGCTGTATGTTAATGACGCTACGGTTCTATATGTGTAAACGAGATGCTTCAAAAACTCCACGTCGGCACAACTTCCTTGGAATTTATTTTCTAACAGAGATAATCATATAGTCGGAATCAATTCACTTTAGTCTACCCAAATTTGTGCTTACTTTCAGCTCTAGGTTTCTCAACTCTGATTGATACCGCATGAGAGGTCATCACCAGGCAGCCTCTTTTAGGCCTAAGGCATACCTCAGGCGATTCGGCCGAATCGCCACTTTCACGCGACTTGGCGATTTGCCAGATTTCTACAAATTCAGCGTGCGCGCTTCTCGGAGGCATATTCAGGTAGCTTGTGTAAATTGTTGCAAATGGATGAAGTTCTGACCAAAGATAACGCATTAGCGACGAATTACGAAGAGTCGCTATTGTGCCAAATCGCGCAGCGACTGGAATCGCGCGAGGTATGCCTTAGGCCTTAGGAGTCGCAGATAGCGTGAACTCCTTGCTGTAACCTTGATTGAAGCTGAAAAATTACTGATTTGAGAGGGCTAACTTTGAGTAGAATGAACTGCACTGATTCGAAACATAATACTCTCTTTGAAATCGGACTTTCAAAAAGTTTACGGCGATTACGGGATATTGCGTTTATTTCATGGATTTTCACGGCGGGGCAATGGCACTATAATACTACATAATGGATGTTTTTTTGTGATTCATCTCAAGCCTCATTCGGGACTGTAACTCTTGAAGTTTGTCTTTATCAAGTCATAACTCGTACTCTATCGCAAACTTATATTGCAATCAGTTCTACGTTTAGGGTATCCGAAAAATCATGATGCGCGACATGCACGCACTTCCGGCAGCCGCATTTTCCTGGTCTTCATCTCTACTCGAATGGTCTAGAAGTGACTGAGCTGACAAGGAAAGGATACTTGGTGACCCTTTTGAAGACAAACCTACACCATCAAGTGCATCTTAGAGCGCTGATTCCAAATCTGTTTTCATTATCTGCTGTGCGCTCTTCCGAGAGAAGTTATGAATTTCTTGTCACCAAAATTTGCACTGTTTTGGTGCAGGATTCACCAATATCGTTAGAATGTTCGCTTATGCACTACAAAAGAGCGTACAAATAAGGTAAAGCTTCGCGTTGAGCTCAGGAAAACTGTCACCGATAAGTCAAAGTCTAAAAAGCCTGGATACTGACGAGTTTGACTGCCTAAATCTCACAAAATCAATATGGAGAAAAATCCATAACTTCGTTCAGGGAGTCGCACAGCAGATAATGAACATAGATTTAAAATCAGCGTTCCAAGACGCACTTACTGGTATACATCTCTTTGCAAAAGGCCACGGTCACGAAGTATCCTTCCCTCGTGAGCATTGAGATGTTGCTTTTGTATGCGTGTTTTGCTCCTACGAGAGCAAAGACCTCAGTCGAATCCATCGTCACGATTTTATAAATGACCTATAGAATGATTCAGATGATCTCTTTAGCTCAGAGCCAAGTCTGCACGGAGCAATCAATGCTTCGAATTTCTCAAAACGAAATAAGAGTTTGACGGCAATCCTAATGCATCACCAACTCTTCAGAAATCGCTCTGCCTTATGCAGAAATTTCTGTTAACTTTGAGTCAGGAGAAGATCTGCTATCATGAAATCTGTCAAAACAGATCAAATCGCATACAGTTAGTGCTAGAAGTCTGCTAGCCAAGTTCATGTCTTCCCCTACTATGAGGAAAGGGTGCGCAGGACCATCCAGTGCACCATTAATCAACGTGCCGTAAATACAATATAATTAGAAGGAAACCAGTCCTCTGAAAGATTATGACGCAGAATAGGGACTGACTTGATTCCATGTTGACTGTTAGCCTTTTGTGCTCGCAACTGCTTTTGTCCATTTTGCTCGCGCTACCCCGCTTTTCACATCGTCTCCGAAGCGAGCGAAACAAAGACTTGTGTTTTGCAAACTCTTCTGCCTCGGTCTTCAGTTTCATTGAGCTGGTTTTGGAGAATTCAAAAAGCTTACATATTAAACTGAGCGTTAGATTAGATTTCAGTAGATTGATAACCGAAGGCAAGAAAAGTCCTCACTTAATCGATAACTTTCCATTGCTGTGTATCAGTTCGCAACTTACAAGGGAATGGTCAGAAATCGAAGTGGCCATTCCAGACAAGCTGCATAGCGATAGATGCAGCATGAAGCGCTGACTCTAAATCTGTCTTCTTTATCTGCTTATCGCTTTTCTGGACGAAGTTATAAGCCATTAAAGACCATTATTTTGCTTAGAAATTATGCGTGAAATTGAAAATTTAGCCGTACAGAGCCTCGTTCGCCTCAATGCTGGGCCAAAACATGCAGCTAGCTTACTTAAAATTTTTGAAGCCAAAAGCAGAGCTAAAAGTGCAACAGTGTGCTCAATTTCGCTGTTTTTATGTATGATTTTTTCATAATAAAATTGCTTGTAGCTTCGCCCACAGAAGCGGGAAGCAGATAAGGAAGACAGATTCGAAGTTAGCGTTTTATACTGCATCGAATGATATACAGCTTGTTTGATTTGGCCGCTTCGACTTCTGACTATTCCCTTGTTAGCAGTGGGAGAAGAGGAATGTGTGGTGGTAGAGGATCAAGACCTTATAATAACGGGCTAAGGGTTGTTTACGTGTTTTTGTGTGTGTGTGTGTCCGTCTGTTACGAAATTCGTAGAGCGTGTTCCAGCCAGCGTTTTAAGCCCAAATTTTGCATAGCGCATGCTACCTTCATGAAAGTTCAACGTGCAAAAGCACGAATAGATTCGTTGAGTGGATCCCTCAGAAATTGCGCGCCAAACGGATCCACCTGGCTTCTGTCCCGCAAAATTGGGTCCATATCACCACTTTTTGCAAAGTCCTGGATGTGTTTGGTAAGCAAATGTGCAAGCGATGGACTTTAGCCCAAAAAGTGGTCAAAAGTTTGCTACATAACGAAAACGGCGCCAGAAAGAGTTGGTTGCGTAAATGGTTAATTTGCTAAGGTTCTAGCTAAGCGTTTCAAAAGATTTTCGCACGGAGATGTAGCTCACGGTTACTATTGCCTTTAAGGGGACTACCAAGCCATGACAACTTCAAAAACCTATTCAAATTTGCGTTTGTCTTCCTACGAAAAGTTTCATCCACGCGAAATCACCGATCTCACGTGAAAAAACTTTCTGAATGAGTAGCTGTTTACATTAAATTCGTGGTAGTCGGCATAGTGCGGTAAGTTCCATTGCCACGATTTTACGAGAATGAGTAAGGCACATAGATAGTAGAGCCAGTGCGAGCCTCTGCGAAGCAGAGGTGACGCACTGGTTATGTATATAACCAGTGCGTCACCTCTGCTTCGCAGAGGCTCGCACTGGTCTTACTTCATATGCCTTACTCATTCTTGACTAATGGTGGCAATGAAACTCACCGCGCAGTGCCGATTATCAATGTAAACAACTATCCATTTAAAATGCTTTTTCATGTGAGATCGGTGATTTTGCGTGAACGAAACTTTTCGCAGAAGAACAAATACAAATTTGAATAGGTTTTTGGACTCTTTCTGGCTTGGTAGCTACCATAAGGACAGTAAGCAACGTGAGCTACATCTCTGTGCAACATTTTTCTCGAATGCTCAGGTAAAACCATGGCAAATCAATCATTTACGCAACCATTTCTTTTTGGCGTCGCTCTCCTAAAATAGTGAACTTTTGTCCACTTTTTTGGACTAAAGTCCATGGCTTGCACATCAGCACGGCAAACACATCCCCGGCTTTGCAAAAAGTGGTGACACGGAACTTATTTTGCTGGTCAGAACCGAAGTGGTTCCGTTTGACGTGCAGTTTCTGAGGGATCCACCCAACAAATCCACTCGTGCTTTTGCCCGGTAGGCTCTTATGTTGGTCGCATGCGATGTGCAAAATTTGGGCTCAGGACATTGCCTGGAACTCGCACTACGAATTTCGTTACAGACAGACACACAGACATACATACACACACAAAAACACGTAAACAACCTTAGCCCGTTATTATAAGTTATGATCATTACCATAGTGAGTAAGTGCTGACAAGGGAATGGTCAGAAGTCGAAGTGGCCAATCCATACAAGCTGCATACCATTGAATGCAGTATAAAATGCTGACTCTAAATCTGTCTTTCTTATCTGCAGAGCGCGTTTGTGGACGGAATTATAAGCCGTTGAAGGTCATTATTTTGCTAAGAAATTCTGCATGTAAAATGCAAACTTGGCCGTACAAAGCCATTCTCGGCTCAGTGTTGGACCAAAACATGCAGCTAGGTCAGTTCATATGACCCTACCTAAAGTTGAGCTGAAATAGCAATTGTGCCTAATTTCGCAATTTTTATGCACAATTTTTCTGCATTAAAGCTGCTCATAACTTCGCCTACAAAGGTGCTCTGCAGATACGGAAGGCAGATTTAAAATCAGCGTTCTATGCTGCATCGAATGGTTTGCAGCTTGTTTGGATTGGCCACTTCGACTTCTGACCATTCCCTTGTGAGCTCAACAGGTGCGTTCTCATAGGAAAAGTGAAATTAGCAGACCTGAGTACTACTATACAAAAGATGATCCAAAAAACATTTTCTGAGTAGTGCTTGAACTTTCACAAGTTCAGTCATTTGCAATTCCAAGCAAGTGCAATTGCCTTTTGGAAGCAAAAAAATGCGTAGTACTTTTGACAGACGATTAAATTTGGTATCTTGCACCTATTGATGAGATGCCAGCTTCCACAAAACGCCTGTATGTATAATGTGAGGAACTTCAGTAGCAAACCTTCCTTATCTCTAGTAACTAGTACTCTCATTTCCAATGTCGTGACTCATTGCTCTTTCTGCAGGCTGAACCACCCAGAGAACATCTGCAGATGCAAGTCTCATGAAAACAGCGTACAGTGTTTCTGTTGTTCTCACCACGAAGTGCGTCTTGTGATCTGAGAGAAGGTCCAAACACATTTCGCAACAGTTTGTCCAAGTTCGTCCAGCTATCGTACTTGTGGTAGGTTTTTCTTCTTCAATCTTATCGCCTTGCAGTTAAAGTAAGATTCATACATAACACCTTGTCAATAATATTTCACGCATCTCCCGTTCAAGTATAATTTTTATGCGCGCGTTGAAATTGTGACTGTCAATTTGTTCGGACGTTTTCCGCAAATATGGCTCTCGTACGAATATCTACTAATAGTCCACTCTCGCTTGCTTCTTTTGCGAGCTGTAGAGCTGAATAAAAGGGGAAAGCCGAGTTTATATAAAATCTTAGAGCTTCGCTTTCAAGTTAGCGATCATCATCGATGGAGAATTTTCGCTCACACTTGGAAAAATGTGACGTGGTCAGGGAACATCTAGATGAGTGGTATAGCGGAAGAATAAGGGTGGAAGGGGAGCTTTCCAAGTTAGCGTGGCACGTAAGTCAAAGCTTTGATCTGATTATCTCCTCAACGTCATCTTTTCCATTTACAGTTTGAGAAATGGGGACAGGAATCCGAATCACGTACCGCTGCTGATTCAACCGTTAAAAGACCCAAGAACTCTGGAGCTAAGGAGGGGAACATCACGGTTGTAGCGGGTACATTCTCAAGTATCTCAGGTGCAACAATTCAGTTCAGAAATGGATGGACTTTGTTGTGGGGCTTATGGAGAACGATAGAATTCTATCGGACAAACTCTTCAACTCAGTCACCGAGCTTCAGACGAACGAAGCGGTTCTTTCGTTTGTAAGTTTTGTAAGGCAGTCATGCGCTAATGCTGCCCGCTTGTGCATAGTCAGAAATTCTAATTTCAGAAAATTCAATGTGGTATTTTTGGTGGTGAATCTCACAACTCGCCAACGGAAAGTCGTCCCAGGAACAGCGCGAGGGGAAATGACTACAGTCGAGTACGTTTTCTTGCCAAATTGTCCATTTGCACAATTTTTAGGACGGGCTGGGGATGGGCCCTGAATGTTCTTTAATGATTACACAGTATTCTAGTTACTATCTAGGAAAATGTGGAATTCCTCCTTCGTCAGAAGGTCAAGACTCCCCTTCTTTTGAGTGCGATCGGCACATTGGCCATCTCTGTACCCTGGCATCTCGAGGTCGTCAAACGTATCAAGGTGTATTTCACTTAATTAAGAATTGAAAATATTCGCGGGGTAAAACTTAGTTTTTAGTGATTGAGTGTCGGCTTTGTCAGTTTCGAAATCTTCTGTGGTGTAGTGAAGCAAAGGAGAACATAATAATTTCTGACGAGCTGCCATCTTTTAAACCTCCTGAGCATGGTTTTCCAATTAAAATGACAGCGGGATCTTTTAATAGATGATGTTGTTTGCTGGAAAACCAGCTCATCTATAAGGCTCCCAAGAAATTTGGTTATCAAATTTGGGGAGCAGAGACTTTGGGCCTAAATAAATCCTCCTCGGAATTCTCGGCCGTACCGGCTCTGTCGAAAATGTTTTCTTTTTGATAGAAAAGGACTGCGTCTGCAGGGCGATTATTTTTGCGTAGTCTGAATATGAGTTATAGAATTATTAAGGGAAATTTCTGTTTAGTATAAATGATTAGAATAATTATAAGAAGTTGAGATGCACGAAGAACAAGTTTTTCAAAGTCTAAGTAGAATCTTTGCAATTCTCGTAAGGATTGTCGAAAATGAAGGTGCAGGCTGAAAGTTTTATCAGTGGTCACTGATTTTATGAAATTTATCATTTCTTTTGATTTTTTCTAGAGCTTGTCCGATGCTACTGTATCTACAATAAAGGTTCTCCTTACAGGATGTTGCTTGCGCAGATCGTCGCTCTCGTTGTGAAACTGCTAAGCTACTCCACGTTTTCGCTGCTTCCGCGAAAATTCAGCGTGAAGAAGTACGCTCCTCTATCATGGAATATTTGGAGGATTAGTTCATTTTCATGAATGAAGTGCTCCACGATTATGCTTTTGTGTGCCATATATTCTACGTATCAGTGTATCTGTCACAGCCTTGAACCCCATTATCTCACCTTAATTGTATCCTTACGAAATGCAAATCGTTCCTTATTGTATGACCGTTTATCACTACTTCATATCGATCCGCTGAGACACATATTTTGCCGTAATCTAGACATCAATGGTGCGAATAAAATGCAAGTATTTTGTCAACCACACAAACATTATAAGTGGAAGCTGGACCTTTCCTAATCAAAGGCATCATCTCTAAGCCAGTGAGGAATTTTCTTGGGGTAGGAGGGACAGAAGTTTCGTCTGAATCAAGAACGTTTCGTTAGCCGCGCCCGTTCAGAATTGTTTGTTATGTTTTTCAAATTTTTTGCGGGTCCATCCCCATAATTCTGAACAAAGAGTGTAGCGACAGCGACCTTCAATAGAAGAACTTAGGGTTTGATCCTAATTTCAGAGGGTTGTTTAACATGTTCACAAGCCATCTGTACAGTTTTGGCGGCGTGTGTCTGCTTTTTTTCACAAATTACGTGGTATTTCTACGAATGGACGCCACACCCATTCATTCATAAGAACTTCATTTGTATCTTATGATACATCTGTCGACATCGGTCGACCATTCGTAAGCTTCATAAGAGGGTGAAATCTTCTGTGAGAAGGAGCAATATAGATTGCGGAATCAAAGTGGAGGTGGAGTAAACATTGAACAGTGTAATCAGCATGCAAAAAAAATCACTCCCTTCCCTTAAAGAGTTGAGCAAGTTCAGAATTTAGATCCGAGTATTGTATAGCCATCGAACCTTCTCGAAACGTTTTTCCTTTGGAAGTGGTATGATATTCGAGCACGATACTTCTAAAATTTGCTTGATCCTGATCTTGGCTCATTTACCGTATCTTACCGTAATTGCTTCAAACGACAATTTTGGCTGAAAATTGGTCAGTGCGTTCAACCGGCTTTCTAATTACAGATATGCCATTCGTTTTTCAATGCGTTTTGTTAGGTTGTTACGATTGGCTCCATGTATGCAGGCAAAAATCATCGAGCTGTGTTGGATTTTTCATGCAAAAAACTCAGAAGTCACTCTTACCTCTCTATGAGATTTATGACGTGCTCCTGAACATCATAAAACCTTAATCATTGTTATCTTGAGGCAAGGATGACAGGTGATGACTCTAATTTTGACGGCTGGAAAACTTTGGCTGTCCTAAAAGCAACTCTCAAGAATAATTTGAAAGGATTTGTAAGTCGAATGATACGATTTTCGATAACCTTCAAATAGAAAAGTGAATGCCGAATTTTCGAATCTCTATATTTCCATTTGCTATCAACTTTTCGAATGCTCGTAATTGTTGTTTCGATCATGGGAATACTCGAAATTTGACGTTTTGGAAATAGAAATGATTTTTTGATTTCCTCTAACCCGTAGTGATAAGGTCGAAGTGGCCTTTCCGAATGAAACCTTTGCGTTTCTGAAGGGCATCAAACGTTAATTCCGAATATATTTATTATCTGCCAATACCTTTTGCCGAAATATGAGCGTTTTCTGGAACTAGGAGATTGAACGTACAACTGAAATGGATTAATTCAAATGTTTCAGAGTTGGATATCAATTTTATGCAATGAATATTTGTCTAATGAACGCTACCAACACAGCTTTTGAGCACTAGGGGAACCAAAACGATTATTTTTAATTCGACTCTCCTTGTTTTTTTTGACTCAAAAGATACTCATGATTCAGCGTAGGAAGCGAGGGATTAGGTGCTATAACTGTGGTTCGGACATCCACGCCTTATTTTGTTACTCTTAAAGCAATATTTTGACCGCTAGGCCCCTCAAGGGCATGCGTAAACCCTCGTGGTCCAGTGGTATGCGTATCGTGCGGCGCTACGAAAGTTCGAGTCTTCGACCCAGTCGAGGCGTTTTGCCTTAATACTTACGCGGCTCTGTAGGCTCATGGGTCAACTGGAGAGTGGTGGGATCCTAATGCAAACGGCATCTGGCTAAAGCGACAGTAATTTGGAGAAACTTTTTTTTATCGGACTTCAACTATTGCGTTAGTCACGAGCCACGCTATCGCTATCGCACTGCTTTCAGATCCCACCGTCCCCCATTTGTCCTAGACAGTGCCTTTAGAACGGCTACTCAAGAATCAGAAGAAAATCCGAGGTGCGATGAAAGGTCTGACAAGGAAAGGAAGGTTGGTCGAAGTGACCTTTTGAAATGAAGTGTATACTGCCTTGTAGAGCTTGGAACGCTGATTCCAAATCTACCCTTGCTATCTGCTGCGGGCTTCCGGGTGAGGAGTTATGAAGGTTTTTGTGAGTAAAAATCTGAATGCAAAAACAGGATAAAATCCGTCGTAAGCTTTTCCCAATGTTCAAATGAGGCAGCAGCGAATTGGTATATTTGAATCAAGAATATTTTTTGCACCAAGTGACCCGACTACCAATTAAGCCTTATAAAAAATTTTACGACTGATTTTAGCCTACTCTTGCATTCAGATTTTTACTCACAAAAAACCTTCATTACTCCTCGCCCAGAAGCCCGCAGCAGATAGCAAAGGTAGATTTGGAATCAGCTTTACAAGCTCTACAAGGCAGTATACATCCCATTTCAAAAGGCCACTTCGACCAACCTTCCTTTCCTTGTGAGTTTTGAAAGCAAATCTCAGAATTATCTCTGAGTCAATGCGCAGCTTCAAATTCTTCAAACTCGGAATTTGATCAGATTGCTACCGACCCTGGTTATTTTTGTGCCTTACTTTGAGTTGTACTCCGCGCTAAACATAATCATTTTTTAGAATCCGTCAAGAAATTATAGAGTTGGTCAATCAAACTATGCAATCTTTTATCTCTGCTTCTTCCCAGCTCTTACAGATGATCCGATCCACTGGAGCAGATGGAGCAGTCGAAAACTAATGTTAGCAACTTAAGCGAGCTCTGTATAACGAGCAGTAAAGGTTAACATTGTGTCCTCGATGTGGAGTTATGCATTTTGATGAAAAGGGTTCGAAAATCGGTACTATTCCACCCGGTACACAAAAATTGAGAAACACGGATTTCGTTGATAATTCGCTTAAAGGCAGCGTCCGGGCAAAATTTCGCCTCTCATGTTTCTGCCATTCTGGGGCCTTTCTGTGGCCCTGATTACAGCTGTAAAATCGAAATTGTTCAAAACTCCCAAAAAACCCGGTTCTGGAGGACCCTCTCTTCAAAAGGTGGACGAGTTTCGAATTGCTCGTCCCCATCGTCATGCCAGCGGGAGGAGCTGCAACTGCACGGATGCAGTTGCATTGCAGTGTGCAGTACCGTAATTGTACCGTAACCTATTCGACCTGCTGACTCAGTACCATATTCATTCCCCACAAAAACGCCGATAGGTTACGGTACAATTACGGTACTGCACACTGCAATGCAACTGCAATGCAACTGCATTCTGCGTAAGCACTCGTCCTCAGGGGTGGTTTGTGAAACGAAGGGGCGGCTTGTGATACGTATCACAGGCTCGTATCTCCTTTCAGAGGGCACGTTAAAGGATTGGACCAAGCAGATCGGATACTCATTGGCCCCTTTTTACCATTATGTGATAATCTGGGTGGATGGATCTTGCCTGGACGCTGCCTTTAAGGGGGTTATTCGATCTGCTGACCCAGTACCATATTCATTCCCCACAAAAACGTCGATAGGTTACGGTACAATTATGGCATGGGGTCAGGACCTCAGAATTCGCATTCTTGCACAGGGGGGGGGGGGTTATTTGATATGTTATTTATGAATAATATACTTTTTTTCGGCGAGAACTTCTTGTATCGTTATGGTAGTTAATATAGTGAGGGGTCAAAACCGTAGATCTGCCTGAAATTTGTATATGGGAGTTATCCGATGTGCTGATCATAATTATTACGCTCATTTCACTTATAAAGCCTATCCCTGGATTTTTAGGATCTTGATTGGTCTGAGCGCGAAAGATGCTTATCTAAATGCTGCAAATTACCATGAATCCACAATAAAGCGTTCCCCACAGGTTGCAGCGACCATACCAACTTTTTATGCGTGCTTGAAAACCCCTCCAGGCAAGGTTTTGAGCAAATTTGGAACTTTCACCTATCTACCCTTGTAACTTAAGGAAATGGCGTTACTGTAGAAGGTCAATATCGCATCCATGTTCAGGGTGCTAGATAACTCCTACAGACCAAATTCCAGCCAAATCTAGAATTGACACCCTACCTACACAACCATACAGGCAGACATTCTCGTGCGGAAAAAGTGTAGAGTGTTCAGCTCGAATCCACTATGCAAGGTTTCAACGGATTCTGAGATCCTGACTTCATACCATGATCTACCATAATCATACCATGAGGCGTTTTCGTGGGATGAATATGGTATTCGGGCATATTGAAGAACCCCCATTTGCAAAGTTTTACGAAATTAGAGATTGACCCATACTACCTTAATCCCTCAAAAAGCCCTTCCATGCAAAATGATTATCACTTTTGTGATCAGCAGGTCGAATAAGCTCACTCCCTAGGCGAACTTCTAGCGAAATGCACGGTTTTCGGTTTCTTGGTTGTACTAAGTGGAATAGTACCAAAAGACTTGCAAAATATCCTTTCGCAAATAAGAGCAGAATCGAAATCAACCATGAACGTTTGATGATATCGTTTTCAATGGCTTCGGTCAACACGCTGCTCCCTTCCCATCTGCTTGAAGTAAACCAGGATTTGTCAGTTGGCGAGTTTTATGCCGTGATTTGTCAATTGGCGAATTTTCATGCCGGTTCCGACAACGACATACGGGAAGCATTCAAAATTTCTGTAATTTGTGCGTCCTGAGAACAAAGTAATGTAAGCGCGCCGTGACCAGTGCAGGCACTGTTAACCCGTACGGTCAACTAATAGAGGACGCTAGAAGACTAAAAATTAACCGACGAAGTATGAGCTTGCGAATTCGATTAACCAAGCCCAGTGGGTTTGAAAGCATACCGGTCAGCGAACCTAAAAGTACAAGTCATGTTTCATGAGGACTTCACAGTCACGTGTTTACGATGAAAACAAATTTCGCAACGATGGTGACTGGGCTGCTCATAAGGATCGAGCTATTGTACCTGAGGTGGGTTCTTATCATGATGTTTTGTAGGGGAGTGCCTTAGCAGTGCTCAAGTACAGATTTAGAGGGATTTTTTTTCTCAAGTACAAATAGTTTTATTGGTAGCGTGATTAGGCAGTGATCTGTACTTTGATACAAGATGGTTTGACTAGATATGCATGCGTTATAGAACTGAATAGCTATGTGGAAAAAGTACTAGGAAATGAATTCAATATGAGTTAGGTACTATTTGTAGTCTTCTTTAAACCTATATCAACCTTGGTAGTATATTTCCTCTCACTGAATCAATTCCAAACCTCAAAGTTATCTATAACCGCTCTTTCTAGAAAAGCAACTTCTTGCTATCTCTTTTCTTACTAAAAAGCTTCGAAAAAAATTTCTGAATACACCGCCACCGCTAAGGAAAACAACATTCCAGAAATATGACGAGCATCCATCCTTCTAGAAGAGTCCCCCAATTTTTTGTGTTTTTTTTGCATAATAATAATCAAGATTGGATTTGGAGGGTTTCGGAAGGAAATGTAATTTGCGCGATGCACATTTTGTTTCTCGAGAAAGAGATATCATAATTCTTCACATAATGAAAGCGGTGAGGCCCCTCAGTTTATCAAATTGCTTCCGAGCGAAGTGTGCCGTGCTTCATGAAAAAAGTGGTAATATAAAACAAACATTCTTATCTATCATGAAATGTCAGTTTCAGTTTGAGGCAGCGACTATCAATGGAAGATTATCGCTTACATCAGGAGAAATGCGAAATGGCCAGGGAGCAGTTGGATGAATGGTATAAGCACGGAATAAGGCTTGAAGCGGAGGTGTCCAAGTTAGCATGGGAGGTATATCACATCAGCGTTTTCTTAATCTTCATTACTCAATTTTGCATAGTTCGATAAATGGGGAAAAGGCTCTGGATCACGTACTGCTGCCGATATAGTGCCTGGAAAAGATGAAGCTGGAACTTTGGATGGTATGTTTCTTGTTTCTTCTCTAATCACATCAGGCAGGCTGCGCTGCAATTAAATCAAAACGTCATCGAAATTGATACGATTTCTACACAGTGGAATTTGTGAGGTGTTTCACTGCTAATAAATTCTTTGTATGAGCGAAAACAGCCCTTTTAGCTGTAGTGTAAACGCGAATCAGTTGTGCGACATCAATATGTTCGTGTTTGGTCTTTGAGTATTAACACGTTTCGGACCGCGAAATCGCGCGCGGTGAAAAAGAGGGTAATTTCAGCCGTTATCCAACAAAAGGACCTTAATTCGTAGATTGTGTGCTACATCTGTTGTCAGCATGTCAGATAAAATCCATACCCAGAGTTCTGAGTGAATTCGAAGTGTTTGAATTTTGTCGTCTGAGAAGAACTTCTGTGCTTTCTTAAAAGATAGGAACAAGAACTCAGTTCCTAATTGTGTCCAAAAGTATCTCTGTTGTACACGATACACATCATTATTGAAACTACGGTTTTTCTCTTTGTATTCAATAAGAAAAGCTGCGACGTCGCACGCGTCGTTCGCGTTGCCGCACTTCGTTGCAACTGATGCTCGATTTGTCCCTATATCTCCTGAACAAATATCGATGGCACAGCTCTACAGACGGGTGGAGGACATTAGGTCGCCGTTAATGTCCTCCACCCCTCTACAGACCCTTTCGAAAAGTAGGAGCTTAGGCCTTTAACTTGATAACCTTGGACAAAAAGAAAACCTTCTGTAAACGTTGAAAAGATTTTTCAAATGTGCGTGCTGCACCATGTGCAGCACCGGCCCGAAACATGTTGAAATCTGATAGAGAGAAAGAGAATGAGAAAAGAGGAGATGGAGAGGGGAAGAGACAAAGAGAATGCCTATGTTGCTTAGTTTCTTGTTCTCGAGCTTTTAAAGGGTTCTCGGAAGTGCATTACCGAAAATTTGTGAAAAAGCCGCGGCAGCGGTGTTCATCGAAATTGGTGTGGAGCACCAATTCTCGATTGGACAGATTCTACATCGAAAGACATCAGTCAACTCAACACATCACATTTCGATAGATGGAACTGATGTCTGGGTAAAGTAAGTATACAGTCCGTAGTCAGTTCTAGACCGATCGTCACCAAGCTTAAAGGCAGTGGCTCGGCAGATTGACCTACCTCAAATTTTGACACATGGATAGGAGGCCCTCCAAGTGAACCAAAACAGCAACTCCGCGCCCGCCGAAAATGTGAACTCTGCAAGCCAGGGGGGCGGCCCAAGCGCCGCTCTCCTTCTTCTTTTCACTCCCCTAACACCTTGTTCGGACGAGTATTCTCGCTAGACGGCGCGGGACCCCCAACCGCTTTCCCGCATTGTGCATGCCACACAAAGCCAAAATTACAGGCAGCAGGGTCTTCGTGCCAGGGCCTCCCGACTTTCCTTTGAAAATTCTCGTCCGAGCTGCCTTTTGGAAATTGAAAAAAACGTCCCGAAAAAGGCCGTTTCACCCCTTTTAAAGCTCAGATTCCGGATCTACGGGTCGAGAAGGCCCAAAACATGCAAAAAGATGGAAAAGCAAAATCTGCCGGGACGCTGCCTTTAAAGCTTAGTGAAGATCGACCTATATTTTACTTGTGGTTACAGTCTGCTTTAATTAGGATCAGGCTGAACCGTCGGCGTAAATTTGCGCGCTCGCAGCGCTAAGCGTTTGCGCTGCATATGCGCGCTGTCGGAGAGAGCCAAAGGAATGAAGTAAGAGCAGAGAAGCAGGCTGTGGGCGTGACCGCGATACCCTAGCGACGCGGACTCCCGCCATACCAATTTTGGCCTGGTTGGGATTGGGGCAGACTGTACCTACTGTGCTGACTGCCGTTAGTTGCTTCTACCGTAAGCGAAAATGTGGAAGACATGATTACTAGCTACCATAGACTTGCCTTACTTAAGCATCTCTTTGTAAATAAAAAGATGCGAAGTGTCGAGCTGAGTGGATTGGTACCTTTGAATACAGAATTCGTCCACACTGGGCGAGATATGCCGATGCATCTCGGCGAACTCCGGCGGAGATTTTCTATGCATCAAACTACGAACTGGGTTTCATTTTGTTAATCGTTTGGGTTCACGCATCTCGCTTGAGATGTTCTCATGACATGCTGATCACGGAATTACACTCAGTGGTAATGTTAATAGGCTTCACGATAAGGATAAAGTTGAAGGCACCATCCACCTAAGTCAAGGTATCATTTTCTGATGTGGAGCATCAGTAGCACTAAGCTGCCCAAATTGTGCTGCAGAAATCGCATCGCAGTGGAAAATCGTTCTATAAATTAGGTGCAACAGAGACAGCTCCACTTATTACATTCTGTCGCTGTCATCAATTTTGTGGAACAATTTCTTTTTTGAAAGGGATTTTGTCCAGAATCCAGTTCTCATAAGGCGTTTTTGACACGTGTGGATGGCCTGAAGATTAGCTCCCAGGTAAAGTACCGTAAAGCTGCTACACTGATAGGCGAGATTACCAGCGCCTCTGAGCAAATTCCACGGTTTAGGCACTTTTAACTGTGAGACTCAAATAATTTCGGTTTGGTATGTTTGGCCTAGCGTGCGATGTTGTGGACCGCGCGTGGCGCCTCACGGGGCATTGGTAAAAAACCCGAGATAGGAATTTGCTGGAAAGTAATTATGTCTACTTGCTCCCATTGCGCTGGAGAAGGAAGGAAGCAAATTTTTATAATCTGAAAGGTGCAGCAGAGTAGTCACATAATCTGGAGTACTGCGCCGGATGTGCAATGCACGTTTTGACTTATCAATAGCATGAGCGTATGGTCAGCATAAACGTATGCTATCGCATTGCTTTTGGTGATCTCTAGGTCGAGCTTCTGGAGAAGCAGCATCTGGAAAATCGAAGAACGTTGAAGCCGCCAAAGAGGAAAATATTAAGGTTGTAGCCGTTACGTTTCTCAAAATATAGTTCTTAAAACTGCAGCAATTTGGTTTAGAAGTGGATGGACTTCATTGTGGGGATTCTAGAGAATGGTGCGATTCTGTCCGATAAACTTCTCAACTCGCTCACAGCGATTCATACGAACGAAGCTGTTCTTGCATATGTAAGTTTTCAGCATCATAGTCTAATGTGTGCTTACGTATATACCATGTTGATGCGAAATCACGAATTTCACTTTCAGAAATTACAATGTGGCATGTTCGATGAAGAAAGTCGTAACTCGCCGACGGATCGTTTTAGCAATGTGAAGGTTACCATCTGTTTTGAGACTTTTGAAAGTGGGAGACTCGAAGGATTTGCACGCTCCAGACATGCTTGAACTTGTTCTGCCATTTTTCCAAGTGTTAAATAACTTGCGTACCTATCGTCATCCCCTAAATTGTTCTCATAGGTATTATCAACGCGGCTGCCTTTCGTTCAAGTGTCGAGTACAAATAAGCGCCTTAGCACACTCACGACAGTACGACCCGGTGGGTCGTACATGTTCTGCTGTTTCGGACCATACGACCCACCGGCGGATCGTAAGATCCCTGGAGCTCTAGCTTTGCCATCTTACGATGGAATTCTATGGGGTTCTGGCACATGATTGGGGACACCTAGGCGAACTTCCTAAGAGTGGTCCGGGATCGGGACACTGTAATGTAATGTTGCGGTAGGTATACTGTAGATAGAGATAAAGCACAAACTTTAGCTCAAATTCTTCGCGGAATGATGCTGTTACTGACAATTCAGGCTTAACTACATGCACGAGAAAATCGTGGCTAGCGGAAGACTCTTGTTGGCCCATCATAGAATCTTCGATTTTATTGAGTTGACTTTACTGATTATTTTCACTGTTCATCCCAGGAAGCTCAAACCTTACATGTATAGGTTTTTCAGCATGCTGATAACGAAAATGATAGTCCCAAGTTCTAGTACCGCTTACCATTTCGGACAATACGACCCACGGGTGGGTCCTAAGTTTGACAAAGCGAAAAAGGCTCTCGTCCGAAACGGCAGTATTCGAAAAATCGGCTTTGCGTGAATGTGTTAAGTTTGCTGGGCTTAAGGCGTTAAAACGATTGTAGAGTTGCCACGTTGATGGCAATTCATTTGTAAAATCGTGAAGACAGATTTGATTGCGGTCTTTGCGCTTACAGGAGCAAAACACCCTCATACTAAAAGGCGTCACCTCAGCGCTCAGCTCAGTCACTTCCAGTTTTCCACTACTGTCATACCTAAGCAGAAAAACCAGTCAAGTATAGATTGTAACCAATGCTCTATACCTATGGGAACGGTTCGGGGAATGCACCATAGATTAAAAACATTGAACAAAACATGTCGAATTGAAACACAAACTTGTCAACTACGGATCAAGCTTGTTAACTTCTTAAGAATTGATCTCAAATTAGCAATTTTATTTGTAAAGGGTTCATTGTTTTTTTTCTGGCGCTATTCCACATAAGTTGACCCAAAAAATCATCGTGAATTTCGCTGAGACTTCGCCTAGGGAGGTTATTTGGTACGCTGAACACGGATATGATGTTTATTTCGTGCGACAGCGCCATCCGGTGGAGTTACGGTAGGATTACGGTAGGGGGGGGGGGTCAAAATCACGGATTTGCCCGAAACTTGGCCTAGTGGGGTTATTCGGCCCGCTAACGCCGAATACCACATTGGTTTCGTACTGTACTGTCATTTTCTCGAGTTACAGTGGGTATACGGTAGGGGGTCAAAATCACAAATCGGCAAATGTATCTTTTCCCTGTGCTTTGCTTAGGCAAAAGCCGCAGCAGGGTGTGTAGCGCGCAGCTGTGGTCGTGTGTGCAAAGCTTCACGATCGTCCGAATCGCCGTACACTCGTTTCAGGTAAGACTATGTTTTTCACCCGTTACCGTATACCTGCCGTAACCCGATAAAATGACGCTACGGTTCAAAACCAATGTGATATTTGGCATCAGCGGGCCGAATAACCCCTCTGGGCCAAATTTCGGGCAAATCCGTGATTTTGGTCCCTACCGTGATCCTACCGTAACTCCACCGAATGGCGCTGTCGCACGAAACAAACATCATATTCGTGTTCAGCGTACCAAATAACCCCTTAGACGAAGTTTTAGCGAGATTCACGATTTTCATTTTTTGGGTCAACTTATGTGGAATAGTACCGCTTTTCATTTGTGTGGTGAAATGTATGACTTGATGATTCGACTTGCATGATGTTGAAATGTTTAGGGAAGATTGGATAATCTCCTTTGTCACAAGACACCCCTTCTTTTGGGTGCCATCAATACGCTCGCAATGTCTCTACCCTGGAGACTCATAGAAGTTGTCAAACGTATCAAAGTATGTTTTATCTTCTTTAAGCTTGAAAGCGCCAATTTTTTGCTACTTTCCTCTTAACTAACATACAAGGTGTTCCCAAAAAATGCGCACGCTGTTTGATCGCTCTCTTTCTGTTATGTCTGCAGATCTTTGAGCACCATTCCGTGGCTCTTGCTTCAACTTAGATTTACAGCATGAAGCGCATGTCTTCGTTACTGTGGGATTGCGGTAGGAACATTCAGCACATAAGGCCGTTTCGAAATAGGCCGTTCTATGGAAAAATTTCAAAAAATCTGGAAGATTGTGCAGCAGAGTTTCGAGTTTTCATTCCATTGCCAACTTTTTACAAGTTTTCGGAGCTTTTTATTTTTTTATTTTATTTTATTTTATTTTGTGCACATGAAGTGCGCTACAACCACCGAATGAAGGTTAGAGCGTCTAATTCAACGAACTCAATAATGAGGGTTAGTAACATCATCGAATTGAGACACTGGGTCTAGCACTCAAAATATGGTTTTTCTAGAAACAAAGACAGAGAAGAACCACGCAATCATGAAATATCCTCTAAATTCAACATTCGCAGAAAGTCATTTTTGAGCAAAAGATTTTTGAGTTTAGTTGAATCGTTCTGGCATAAAATCTCGGCGGACAGGCAATTCAGCAGACGAGAAGCACGACCAGCAAAGGAATACCGTAGCAGTTGTTTACGCCATCCTTTGGTCCTAAGAATACCGATGTTCAACATAGCTCTTCGGGTTTGAGAGGGACGGAAAGACCAAAAATTAGAGAAATTTAAACGCACCTCTTGTCGGAAAATTTTATGTGCCAACAGAGTATCAGCTAAAATTCGTCTGTAGTATAAACTCTTTAGACCAAAAATAGCTAATCTAGTCTTGTAGTCAGGAAGTTCTTCTGGGTACTTCTTGCTTGGGAATAGTCGATAATACAGAATTCTGGTGAATGTTCGCTGGACTTTTTCTAGTTTGACAATATATTTTTTCAAGGTGGGGTTCCACACCGGACTGCAATACTCTAGAATGGGAAGGACATAGACCGTGTATAACCTCACCCAGATAGTTTTATCTGACGTATGTATATTCCTAAGCAAGGAGTACATAACTCGTGAAGCCTTCGTAACCACGCTATCAATTTGGGAAGAGAATTTGAAAGGGGATTCAAAGATAACACCCAAGTCACGAACAACACTCTGCGACTTCAAGTACACTCCATAGTCAAATTTAAAAGAAGTTTCTCCGAATCTTATAGTTTGACTCTTATTTAAGTTGACTTTCAATCCCCATTCCTCACACCATTTTAGCATATGATGAACAGATGATTTTAATTTATCAGCTAATACTACTTCATCGTTTTTATCAAAAACGGCATAAATTTTCAAATCGTCCGCGTAAGCTGCTACACTAATCCGAGTATCAGTTTTCAGCAAACTCGGGAGCTCCCTTGTGTAGATGTTAAACAGCAGTGGAGAGAGGGCGCTTCCTTGGGGCACACCCGAGGGGGAGAATCTTTCAAGTGAGCTTTGTCCTTGGAAGAGGACAGTAAAACTCCGGTCAGTGAGGTATGACTCAAACCAAGCCAAAAGATTATTTCTAATTCCAATACTCTCAAGTTTGGCAAGAAGCATCCGGTGATTCACAGAATCGAATTTCTTTAGAGAGGTCAAAGTAAACTACTTCAACTGACTTGCCATTACTCAGGGCGTCGACCCATTCTTGACAGCCTTTTATCAACTGCGTTGTTGTAGAAGAGCCAGGGATGAACCCATGCTGCTCCTCGGGAAGGCAGTTACCTTTGAGGTACCAATCCAAGAGAAATTTGGCAATAATTTTTTCAATTATTTTACAAGGGGTCGGCAGAATGCTAATGGGTCTGTATTCAGTAACTTTATTTGCTCCTGTGCGCTTGGGAATTGGAACAACCATGGCTTGTTTCCAAAGCTTTGGGACTGTCCCACTCATCAAAGATATATTAAAAATATGGGACAACGGGACGCTCAAAGATTTGGCACACCTCTTATAGAAAAAGGCCGGAATTTTTTCGGATGTGACAGATGTAGAAGCTTTGGTCGATCTCAAAAGCTTATGCACTTCGCTGCTCGTGATCACTGGTATATAAAGATTATTAGAAGAAATTTCACTTAGAGGAGGGCATTCCAATTCAGCATCCGCAAAAGATTTTGCAAAATACTGGGATAAGGCATTGGCTTTATCATCAGCGGAAAAGAGAATATGTTCACTTTCATCCATCAATGATGATCCCATTCTCGTTTTTCCAATACGATTTTTGAGAAAGCTGAATAATTTTCGCATGTTATTGCTTTTTGCCATTTTACGTTGTTCGTAATTCCAAAAACGGCGTAAATGACGATTTAGATTTTGACATACGACTTTATAACGATCAGATTGGAGCGGATTATCGGTATCACGAAAAAGACGTTCCTTTTGCTGCAAAAGATTCTGAATTTGCTGAGGATATTTAAGCCTAACATTTCCAGTTTTCTTGCAAGGAACGTAAGTCTCGATGAGATCATGCAAAACCGAGACAAATCTAGTATATAGTATAAAATCTATATAATTTAGTATAAAAAGTGAGTTATGATGATTTTATTTTATTTTTTATTTTAACGTGTAATCACTTTTTTAGCAACGGTGAAAAAGCAGTTATTACGGTTTTTTTAAAATAACCTTATGAAGTAAGCGTATTGTCATGTATACCATGTGAATCAGCGACTCAGATTAGTCTGGCATAAAAGTTTCTGGCTTGTTTGCTGATCTCCCTTTTGAGGCAAAATGCGCCTCTTAACGGCTCGAAACTCTCTTCAAAGTTCCTACCGTACTCTTACAGTAACGAAGAGGGGTCGGAGGTTCGCGTCTGCTATAACTCTGAGTTGAAGCTTCTCTACAGGATGGTATCTATTATAGATATCGACACATAAGACATTGAAGCAGGAGAGTTATTAACGCACGCAGATTCAAAGTTCAGGAATTCTAGTGGCTTTAG